TGCCTTGACCCTACCTGATACTGTGCTGCAGAAGGAGGGAAGCAGAGTTGTAGTTGTTTTGTGCTGGGCTAACAGACGCTAGATTGGCGCTTCTCAAGTTTATACCTGATATTATTTCTGCTTAAAGCAATGAGCTTTATATTTTGGTAATCTCAAATAATTCTTTTCTTGAGCTTTATGATTTTATTTGATGTGATCACAATAGTTTATTCAAATATGTTTGTGTTTTAGTGTGTTGCTGCCATGGGTACTTCTTGTTGGGGAGCTTCAAGCAAGTATGAAACGTAAGTCTCATGTGAAGCTAGAATTTGAGTTAAGTATGACAAACATGGTTGTTCACTATTAAATTTCATCTCTTTTCAGCTTCCCATCTTGGCTTTGGAAATCTTGATGCCAGTAAGCAGGTCTCGGGTGACCAGCTTCATCAGTTGCCACACTGGTTCCACCCTCTGCACCAGGCCCAGCCTCAGCCTCGGAGCTCTCTGGCTCCTACCTCTCAGCCCAAGGTCCAACCCCAGTCTCGCAGCTACCTCCCCCAGCCATTGCTGCAAGCTCATGGTTCTCAACCACAAGTCCAGCCCCTGTCACAGCCCCTGGTGCAGGCTCGCAGCTATCAATCTCAGCCACAGGTTCATAGTTACTGGGCTGAGGCCTATCCCCAGCTGCAGATTCGCAGTCAAGGCCATCCTGAGATTCAGGGTCCCCCCCAGGTCCGTCCCCACACCCAGCCTCGGAGCTTTCAGAATCGTCCCCAAATCCAACCACAGCCTCGCAGGATTGAGGGCCACCCCAAGACCCAGATGCAGCCTCAGCCTCGTACCTTTCAGGGCCAACCCCAGACACAGACTCAGCTGCAGCCTCGCAACTTTCAGGGTCATCCTCAGGGCCGTCCCCAATTCCAGCTTGAGGGTCATCCCCAGAACCAGTTGCAGCCTCACAGCTTTCATGGCTATTCCTACCAGCCACAGCCTCGCATCTATCGTGGCTATCCCCAGGCTCAGCTGAAGTCACAGCTTCAGCCTCGCAGCTTTCAGGGCCATCCCCAGGTACAGACCCAGCCACAGCCTCGCAGCTTTCAGGGTAGTTCCCAGGTCCAGATCCAGACACAGCCTCATAGCCATCAAGGCCATCCCAAGACCCAGCCACAGCGCCAGACCCAGCCACAGCCTCGCAGCTTTCAGGGCTATGCCCACCAGCCACAGCCCCATAGCTTTCAGGGCCATGCCCAGGCCCAGAACCAGCTGCAGCCCCGCAGCTTTCAAGGCCAGGCTTATCCCCAGGCGCAGCCACAGCCTCGTACCTTTCAGGGCCATCTCCAGGTACAGACGCAGCCACAGCCTCGCAGCTTTCAGGGCCATCTCCAGGTACAGACGCAGCCACAGGTTCGTACCTTTCACGGCCATCCCCAGGTCCGTCCCCAGACCCAGCTTCGTAGCCATCAAGTCCATCCTGAGACCCAGCTGCCGACCCAGCCACAGCCTCGCAGCAATCAGGGCCATCCCCAGGCTCAGCTGAAGTCCCAAATGCAGCCCAGCAGCTTTCAGGGCCATGCCCATCCTCGGGCCCAAATCCAGACCCAGCTGCGGCCTCGCAGCTTTCAGGGCCAGGGCCATCTTAAGGCCCAGACCCAGCTGCAGTCTCTCAGCTCTCAGCCTGAAGGCTATCAGGCTGACTCACTGCCACAACCTCGTAGTTCTCCAGCTCAGCCCCAAGACCAGCTGCATGCGAGCAGTTCTCAGTCGCGGGGCCACCTAAAGCCTCGTAGTCATCATGCTCAGGCCAAGACACAGCCTCATAGTTATCCAGCATATCCACATGCCCATTCTTACTATCAGACTCAAATCCCAATACAGGCACGCAGCTATCAAATGCGTCCTCGGATGATGCGTTACCAGCACAGACCTCATCTTCAGCCTTGGGTCCGGGCAACTGGCACAAACCACCAGATTCTGCAAGGGGCTTAACCGAAGAGGTATACTCCATAAAACTAGTTGGTGTTTACTTTGTCCTT